CTTCAGTCTGGCAACCGTTTTAGGGCCTGTAGGGCCTGAATTCGGTTGTCAGGCTGAAATGTCTCCGGGGCCTGTAAGCCCTAAGTTTTAGGCTTTTAGGCTGACTGTCTGGGACGGGCCCTGTAGGGCCCGTGTGGCTACGCAGTATGCCACAAATGGATGATGTGCTGGGTAAGTACATGGGAATTGATCACGTTTTTTGCAAACATGCTAGAACGTCTTCCAGCTGGATGTAAACGATGTCGCTGCCAAAACGAGCTTTTATCTATTGATAGTGTTGTCAGATTGGTACAAGTTACTCTGGAAGTTTCTGCGTTATGACGGAGGATCATGCATTCAGCAGTTGGTTCATACTTTTGGGCACTCGTCCAAACTCCAGGGACCGGGGTGAGATTGAGTGTGTGTGTGTGTGTGTGTGTGTGTGTGTGTGTGTGTGTGTGTGTGTGTGTGTGTGTATGTGTACAAGTTTTTCTGTACCTCCCTCTTCGCCTTCCTTGCGGCACGCCTTTTGTACAAGATGACAGTTATTTCACTTGTGTGCAAGTTTATCCGCACCGGCCTCTTCACCCTCGTTGCTCCAATGTATTTTGTACATGCTTGCAGTTATTTTATCTGTGGGAAATTCCCATTTCCATCTGTTTGCAGCTTCGCTTCCATTCCTTTTTTCTCTCTGATGGTGTCCCTGGGGCTTCTGGTCACATGCAATGATTTTGCAATCTCGATATTTATACTTGGGGAACGTGGTTGCTGCAATATCTGGTCTGGTTGCTGTGTTGCAGCCTGGGCATTGCATACTTTGTGGTTGTTGCTATCTGGGTGCAAAGGTAGATCCAGGGGGTGGTGAGCTGGCATGACCAGTGTTTTTGTTGCTGTCTGAATGAGGCATCTGCTGCAAATATCAATCTGGATGGAAAACGCACTGACAGGCATGGCACTAGTTCTTTGTTTCTCCTGGTAACTCACCGATTCTTCAGCGGTTTTTCATCTTTTTGCTGGATTGAAATTTGAAAGCGCCGTGTCCTTCGGGACATCCGTTAAAATTGGAACGATACAGAGAAGATTAGCATGGCCCCTGCGCAACCATGACACACATGAATCGAATTTGAAAGCGTCGTGGTTCTCTTAGGAGTGAGGAATGCATTACGCTCTGGTGTTTTTTCTCCTTTTTTCTCCTTTTGGGTGTTTTTTTTTGGGAACAAAATTTGTTCCGTGTTTCGATCTGCATGCTTAGTTTCTGTGTGTCTTTCTGGAGAGCTGTTCCTGATTGTGCTCAAATGCTGGTTCTTCTGCTCAGGATTTTTACCTTGAACTGCAAGAAGATGGACGAGAAATCAGTCCAAAGGATTACCTAGAACTCAGTCTACGGCCTGCTGCAGGCTCAGATAGAGCAGTGGTATCGAAGAATGAGGTAATTTCCAACGATCCTTGTAATCGAACTTTGGACATCCCCAGGTACACTCGCCTTAGCCTTGAATGCTGCCGGCGTCACGAGGACTGATATTCTTATGCTGTACAGAGCCAGCAGTGGGTAGGTGGGGGAGCACAAGCATCGGTGGACATGATGATGCCACTTGATGTCCTTTGCAACCATATCCATGTGTCATGTCAAGTGGTGTTGCTTTGCAGATGGTCCTGCAAATGATTTTCACATGCCCACGCCTGTTTGCTCGTTAAAAAATAAAATAAAAAGGAAGGGTTTTCTCCTCATCAGGGGACAGCTGCCTTGCTATACTATTTTCTTCTCTCATCGTCATTTTACCTCACACTACCTAATATACACTAGGCCAAGCAGGGAACCCTAAGGGTTACGGGTCTAACCTCACACTACCTAATATACACTAGGCCAAGCAGGGACTCTATGCGGGGAGTAGCACCCTAGCTTTTAACACCCGGCATCGGCTGGTCAGAATGACAATCACGTATCTCATGTTAACCTCCATCTGAACACCCACTGTAGGCCCAAGGTATAATTGGGTGGAGGACTTGGGTTCATACCCCAGGTGCCCAGGCTCTCTGCCTGCCCCTTTGTGGGATTGACACTTTTCTCACTGCAAACGGCAATGCCAGCCCTCGCCACGGTGCTAAGATTGGAGAATCTAGCTTAGGTCAACCATGGCTGATGAGCCTCCGTTTGAAGCTTTTCTGGATGTTGCGTGAAGATTCGTCTTGGTGGTCATTCAGGCGAGTCGACCTTAAATTGATTGCAGTTTGACAGATCTCTCCTTGCTGATCCAAAAAGCTCTTAACCGAAACCGAAGCTAGCTGGGAAAGCCATTAGTGCTTTTATATGTGCTACTGTTGCCCCTCGACATCAGAAGGCCTTCTGGTGTGTCCAGGCAAAAAAGCTTGCACAGGTGACCTGAGTGCGATTCATGGGGGTACTGTTTTGAAAATTGTCTCCAGCATTCAAGTTTTTTTGTCTTTGCTGCACAGCTGACATGGTTGTGCATTTTCTGTCTTCAACTTCACATCATGCCAGAGCGGACTTGCCTTTTTTTTTGTTTGTTTTTGCTTTGAAGGTGCTGTTGGCCCTTCTCATCCCCCCCTTTCTTTATTGCACACAATGCACAGCTTACTGGATTGTGATTTTGATGGCGATGTTCTAGAAGTTGCTGTCTATTGTTTGGAGTGGGGAGAAATTGAAGGGCAGTTCAGATGACCTCCAGGCAATGGGCAACAGCTTTTGGTGATGAGGGCCGGATGCACGTGCTTCGATTCCTTCTATCTGGTATGGGAGTAATTGTGTAAGTAACGCTGCATGACTGTATTTTGGGCGACATTCCGCCTAGATATAATGACCGGGCGCTCTTCTTGGGTGAAGATGGGTAGTGGAATCAGATGAATGCAATACCGTGAATCTCTGGCCGCTCTGTAAACATTCAGCATCCTCTGAAATCCCTCAGGAATTTTCATACACAAAAGGGCAACAGCCTTGAGATATTTCATCAAACTGACCAAGCCCCAGCAGGTAATCAGAGTTAGTTTACTTATCTGGTTAACAGGATTCAAACAGGAGAGCTGTTTGCTAACAGTTACATGTGCGTCGCATTCAGCCACATGAGCTGGGTACCGTCTCCTTTAATACTCTAGCTTGATTGTTATCACAAACTATGACAGTGGCAAATGCTTTTGCAATGACCTCCCACCTTTACGTCTCAGTGCAGAAACTTAATTGGCAAGCTCCCATCTGCAGAAGCTTAATTTACCAGTCTGTGAAAGTCTGGTACGTCTTTAAGAAGTTTAAGGATTAATAAGGAGTCTTTCATTTTTTGTTTGCTGTTTGCCAGTGCAAGTAGTCTGTACGTCTATTATCTCTGAAACAGTTGCAACTTGGAACAGTGTTTGATTCTTGAGAAGCTTTGGGGTCTTACTTACTGTGAACCTTCTGCCGTTGTTATTATAACTGTGCTGATGTATTTGTTAATCACAAATGTGAGCAATGATATACGTTGGCCAGTCGGACGTAGGATCTTATTGACTAATTAGTTGGATGCATGTGCTCACAATTTAGTGTCTTGTCTTCCTCTTGTTTTGTTCTTTACCCCTCTCCGCCCTCCCCCCCGCCGGCCCCCCTCCCCCATCCAGGTCCGGGATTTAATTCGATCCTTGTTCCCAGATAGAGACTGCTTCGCACTTGTGAGGCCCGTAACTGACGAACGCGATCTCCATCGGCTTAGCAGCATCCCGGTAAGTGCTGTTTGACCTATAATGTCCTTGAACTTGCTGCAGTTTTCTTCCTGTGCGAGTTTTCATACGCCTGGAGTATGCGATCCTGCTCTTTTTTTTTTTTTTTTTTTTGAACAGGTCCTTATGGGCCTGGCTCCTTTTCCATTCTGGGGAGCATCAGTCCGGTTCCTATTCCCCCGGCAAGTCAGAAAAATATTACATCATGAAACACACTCACGCTTCCTTCCATATGGCTGAAGGACCCCTGACCAGCATTGATTGCTCCCTTGATGGAGGATTGACTGTCAGCTTGCCCTAACAACTTGCTCCTCTCAGGTACCCCTCTTGGGCCTGTCAAAAAGATCTATTCAAAACGAGAGAAAGTGGTAGGATCTGCCTCCAGTCACTAATCTGAATCTCCTTCCTTTCCAAAGTTCCCGCCTGATATCCTTGTTGCTCGGCATAGGACGCTGTTGTCTGTATCAGGACTACTCCATTGATCGCAAGGTAACTTGGTTTTCTCCTAGCACCTTGTGAGTTGTGCCAGTCCTTCCTTTGGACATAGGAGATCTCTATCTCTGCGACTTTCCTCCAATTAGCCAGATCTTAGTAAAACTCGACTGTTCTGTGCTCTGTTACTCGTCCTCGTCTGGTAGTGAGAGTCTTGCCTTATCCATCCTTATCCAAAAGCCATCCTGACCCCTGTCCTAAATTTCTCTACCCTCTCTGAGAATTCCTTAAACCCCTAATCCCTAAACCCTCCATTACTATCCTGCTCTATGGGACCCTTACTTTCGTCTTATTCCCCCCTCTTGGATGTCTGATCATGGGATGTCTTGTCCATCCGCAGTTATCTGCTGTTGGTGAATCCGATCCTGCTCTTAGCAATGTTGATTACATCTATTTTCGGCCTTGCTGTTTCTGTAACTGCTATTCCCATAAGCTGCCTGTGGTCACATTGTTTGGGCATCAGTCTTGTTGTGGTGATGTGGTCCTCGTCATGCTTTTTAGCGAATGTGGATGCTTTTGTACACTCGGGGGGAGCTTGGGAAATCAACTTAGGTGTCATGTTGATATTGTGCTGCCTTGTATGTCAAGTTGCGTGATGTCGTCAACCCATGCCTCTGTAGGCTTGTGGCTCTCTTCTGCATGGACTGAAATCTTTAGAAACTGGTCAGAACAGTGCCAAAGAAACAGTGAAGATTAGAGGACTGTCATTCATGAATGTGTTATGTGACCCTCACATGGCTCGCTAACTGTCAATAACCGTCAATAACTATCAATAACTTTCAATGATTGTGCATAGCTGTGAAGTGGGTGTGACCAATGTTCACATCCTACGAAGCATGAATCAAGGCATGCTTGAAGTACACACGCGTGTTCAGCGTTCGTCTCTGTTTCAGCCATAACGCTCACAGTGGTACTTCTGTTGCCCCTGAAGTAGAACACCTGAGAACTGGAAACTCCACGTTGGGAAACAGGTCCTTGTTTTTTTAATTCTTGACTGTTGAAAGAGACCTAGTTCGGGAACTCTTGACTTCGATCAAAGGAAATATATTCTGAAATGAGGCACTTCCTTAAGCTAGTTTGAGAATTCTTGAGTTAACCCACTTTTCCCCTTTCTAGTGAAGGTGTAGCCACAACGCTTTGCAGTCAATGCAAGGATGCATTAAGCAGGAATTTCTGACTCGGAAGCTGGAAGAATCATCCATTGTGTAGGCCCATGTTGACATGTATATGAATGAGTTCATTTCTGTGAAGTTCTGAAGTTGAGACTGACGACTGCCACAGGTCTGTGTTTGCACATGCGTGCACCCCTGTCTGTACATTGGCGTGCTTGTGTGAATGTGTTCTGGGGGTGACTTGGAACTGGCATCCTTCCTCTGCGTGTTTGTGCCTGTGTGTGTGTGTGTGTGTGTGTGTGTGTGTGGGATCTTGTTGGTATGCATCGGTGCGCTAGATGAACAAGTTAAGGCCAGAGTTTCTCACAGGGCTGAAGACTTTGACTGACCTTATCTACAGTAAGACACGACCAAAGCAAATGGATGGCATGATGCTGACAGGCCCAGCACTTGCTGGAATGGCTCAGTGCTTCATCACTGCAATCAATGGTGGAGCTGTGCCTGTTATCTCCACGTCATGGGAGGTATGTACCATCAAGTTGGACTGTTTCTCTCTGCTCTCGTCCGTCGTATGTTCTTTATTTCTGGAAGAAGTGTTTGCCAATCTTAAGATGCTCAGAAGTTCTTTTTCTCTGCTCTCGTCCTTCATATGCTCTTTATTTCTGGAAGAAGTGTTTTTGTCAATCTTAAGATGCTCAGAAGTTCTTTTATAGGCGATTTTGTGTGGAAATGAGGAGTGTTGTGCTTTTGACCTTTGTGCCTAAGGTAGGCATGCTTTTGGCGTTGACCTCACACTGTGCTTCTCTGCTTGCCTGAAGAAGCTCTCTGCCAAACACACAATTGAGGTGCTACTGCATGCGACCCACAGCTCCCAAGAATGCACATGTGCAGATGATGTGTCAGTATTTTAAACTACTATTTTTGTCTCCTTTCCAATCCTCATATTGCTGCTAAACTGCACGTTTGATGCCAAAACTGACATGCATAGTTCCTAGACCCTCTAAAAGGGGAAAAGGAATTTGAAGTGCGACACTGTCTACGGATCCGTTTTTTTTGTTTTTTTTTCCCTCTCATCCTTTTCATTGCCAAACACAACATGGTCGCCGGGAATCCCTTCACATCTCAACCTGGAGCACTGGGGCCATTACCCAACTTCGGCTTGGCTGGAAACCGGGTCCAGCGTCGCAATATGCACAACTCCAAAAAAAATAGAAACTGGAGAAGCTAAGGGAGAAAGCTGGACCAGCTACTAAAACGCACCGGAAGATGAATGTCCCAACTAAAACAAGGAGAGGATCACAACTAAAAAACCCACTGATTGAATAGATCCAGCTTCAAGCCTAGACTCTGACCTCCGGCCTGTCTATGCCTCATTGCCCTTTCCCTTTCCCTTTCCCTTTTCTTTTTGAACCCTAAACCCAGGCCTGGCCCATGTGTGGAACACGAAGCCAGTTAGAATCCAGAGCCCTAAACCCTCTGTGTTCTTCTTCGGGCGGCGGTCAAGACCCGGCCTGAGACCTAAGAGGGACACAGCTCTGCATAGGCAACTTCTGACGTCCCTCTCCTCTTCTCTCGTCCTCTCCTCTCGTCCTCTATGCAGTGCCCAATTAAAGGATGGCGAGTCACCCACCAGAGATCCCAGTTTCCCGTGGCCCAGCGCGTCCTTGGCGAATTTGTTGAGAACCTCCTGTTTCTTAGTAGGGTCAGTCTTGACAAGCTTGAGTTTATGCTGCCAGTCCAGATAGTACACCACGTACAGCATCTGTGTGAGCCCATCCCAAGCCTCAGCGGGCGGTATGATTCGTGAGTCTATGGCCGCCATGCACCTGCGTTTCCAGATTGCCAACAGGGTTAAGGGCCGCAACCTTCTGAAGAGGTTCCGTACCCATTTCTCAGTGAGAGTCAGTCCCTTGAACCCTGTGATCAAGAGTACCGGGTCTTCCGGTGGGGGGTCTCCTACCACCGACTCCCAGAGCCGTGGCACCTTGGACCAAAGTTGTTTTGCCATTGGGCAGTAGAGAAGGCAGTGCACCAGGTCTTCAACTGCTGATTCGTTGCAGATGGTACAATTGACGCTGAGCGCATGCCGGGCTGCTGCCAACCGCCGTTTGCTCAGCCACTGATTGAACGGTAGGGCATAGTAGGAGACAAGCCACTGCATACTCTTGACTCGAGTGTTGCGGATTGCGAGGACCATCCTCCAGTCTATCACGGCCTGCAGTCCCTAGGCCCCTGGCAAAGACAGGCAACTACAGTCTCCTTCCTCAAAAGAGAGGGTGCGTCGTACCATCTTCGCAGGTGGTCTATGGATCCTGTTTGATGTCTGTATTGGTGAGATGTCTATGGTGTGACAAGGAATCAAGTGGAGAATGGTTGCAGAGCCCTTAGTTTTGGGTTTTACTTTTCTATGAATGGGATTGAGTTCTGCCGAAGCCTATGAAGGGTATTTTGGCATGTGCCATTTGTGGGGAGCGTAGAAGTTCAAACTTCAAAACTTTAGACTCAGGAGATTATCCCTGCACTGAAGCTTCTAATTTTTTTTGTGAACGAGAGTGCACTTTTCTGACATCAGTACTGCTGTTTTCTATTTATCTATGAATATTGTGGCCTGCATGGTGCAGCATGTGGCTGAGTCAGAATGCAGGCGTGCAACAGAAAAGGCAACAGAAGCGTATTGGGATGCTCTGGATCGCACGGTAGCTCCTGAGGAGGTTAGTATTCCTGCATTTTTCTGTAATGTGATGCTCCTACAGCTATATGCTGTGCGGCATTAGCTCTATGATGTTGCATTTTGGTCTGAAGACGTGGGGTTGCACCGAGTTCTGTGTCTGAGGAAGTGCAGCTTTTTCATATCATGCGAAAATAGCCGATCTACTGAAAGAAGGGCCCCCTTGTTTGTTGGACCCTGCAGGAGGATCCATGGGTCGTTGGCTGACTGAGTTAGGTGACATATCCTGGGCGCTTGGATGCATCTAGCAGCCTCAATCATTCCTTGAAGCCAATCATATTGGTGGACAAGGCTATTTCTCCTCTGCCCCCTCCCCCACCCTCCCTTTCCCACGTCTGTCTCTTCCTCTCCCCTTTCCATGCTCCTCCTCTCTTTTTCTCTCCCCCCTTTCTCTCTCTTCTTCTGTCCCCCCTTTCTCTCTCTTTTTCTGTCCCCCCTTTCTCTCTCTTTTTCTNTCCCCCCTTTCTCTCTCTTTTTCTCTCCCCCCTTTCTCTCTCTGCTTCTCTCCTCTCCCCCCCCTGCCCGTTGCTCTCTCTGTCTTGCAAAGAACTAAATGGGAACACAAATTTTCTGAGCTGCAAAAGACTCAAAGCAGGACAAACATATGTGAGCAAAGTCAAAAGCAGAATGACAAATTCAAGAGCATGCCAAGTGAGAGCACGCTGAACAGTAAAGTCTCAAGAGCATGCCAAGTGAGAGCACGCTGAACACTAAAGTCTCTTCATAAAGAAAGCCCAACTTCTCGGCTCCAGTCATCAATACATCCACAATGTAGCAGCTCTATTTTGTTGTGACCGCCTATAGTACTCCCCTTCTCTCTCTCTATGCACCTACTTCTCTCCCTCACACCCTCCCTCTTTCTCTGACCACTTTCCTCTTGCCTAGATATGCTGTAGAGTCTGACCACCACGAGTGTGCTCCTTGACCATCACCAGGTAAGTCCTCCTGTCCCCACCTCCGCCCTTGTCCCCGGTCACCCCATACTCAGTGCCAACCCAATTCCACTCCCAGCTAGGCTATGGCTGCGGCTGGGCAGAGCAGCTACTGCTGCTGCTCCTTACCTTCCTCCTTCAATGAGCACTGAACTGGCCACTATGGGCCAGTGCAAACCTAGCCATGGCAGCCAGTACCTCTGAATGTGTGGAATTCACCGGCCTCCTCGCTTTTGTCACTTCCTGGAGGCCACGCGTAAACTTCTGAGGACCAACTGGATCATGACCTGTATCCTGGCTTCTGCAGCTATAAGTGGCTGGTCCTACTGGTTAGTTGTAGTGGCTGGGGTCCAGCCTTTCCTTCCAACTGTATCACGCAAGCCTTCGCTCAGAGCTGGCGGATTTTCTTGCTGCTGTGGCGTTCAGTTAGAGCCGTGTACATTTTTTGTAGGCGTCCCCTGTCGAGGTTCGCCGACGCCTGAGGCTTGTCGCAGTGTCATTTCTACAATCTATTTTGTCTCTCTCCTTGTATTTTGTGGTGGCAGGTTGTTTGTACCCCGTCACGGTGGTGGTGGTGTGAGTATAGGATTCTCTCCTTCGTTGTGCCTCCCAGCATGCACGAGGGCAGTGGTTGTCGCTCAGGTTATGTTTTATTTCCCCTCGATCGTCGGCGGGGTAGCGATTAACACCTTTGTGCAACAGGGGTGGATTATGGGTCATAGACTCATAGCGTTAGTAGGGGTTTCTGTGGACCGTTGAGGGTCCAGCCTCTGATTAGCCAGTGAGAGCCTGGGAGGATAGGTTATCACTTGCTTCTCCTTAATTATGTGTGGTATAGCGCGCCTCTCAAATGGGCTTGCCATTAGATTACCAGCGGGCAAGCAGAAGAACTGTGGTCATTGAAGAGCATTCTACCCCACAAGCTCATGAATGCATGTGGATGGAGTCTCAAACCGATAGATCGACGAGAGTACGTGTGATCATACTCTCTCTTTTTATGTTGTGATCGTATCTATTGGTTGGATCTGTGTTGCTGTACGAGAGCATTCCCCTCCCTTCGAAGGCTGGATGATCGTGCTGGTGTGCTGTGTGCTGAACCCAGCTGCAAGGCGTTGTGCATATCTTTGGATGCTAGCTCAGGACGGAAGGGGATAGCCTGGCCAGTTCTATGCTCTTTTTCTGGATATCCGTGCCCCTTGGAATCTGGGTTGTTCAGCCAGTGACTAGTTGTGTGGGTCCAACTGGGGTCCAACTGTGCACTTGGATCGATGACTGCCTGCCGAAATGTTGAGGGCCCAGGCAGAGTTACCGGGTCCACCTCTTGGGCCTGGGGGGCCTGTACGCAATGGACCTGGGAGCTAGGCCCTACTGGCCCTGCACTGCCTGGTGCGTGGCCAAGGGACCTTGCACCAGACCCTTAATGAACTTGAAGATAAAAGTAAAGAAGAAAGTGATTGTAGAATCTACTAAATGTTAATCAAGTTTAGCCTTGCCTGGATTGTTGGCAATTTGTTGGCCTGGACATGAGTTCGGGTCTGAACGCCAGGACAACGTAGGCTGGCACGGACTCTGACTCTTGTAGGTTTTACTAAATGCTGACCTGTTTGAATTGAATAGTGGTGTTGCTTCTGATGGTTTGTACTACATTCAGGCCTTGACTATGGATTACCTGGCGGAGAAAACTGGCGTCTGATTTATTGATATCATGTTTGCTTTGGTGTTTGAATTTCTGGCATTGCAGGATTTACTCAATGCAGCTCATAAGAAAGCTGCTGAAGTAGCACTAGCGGTCTTTGGAGAGGAGGCCGTTGGGGGCGGAACGATCCGCTTGAAGTTCGAGCATGGTTTGGTCAATTCGCTGGCCAAGTTGTTTGAGGCAAGTTTTGTTTTGTCAGTTGAATTGACTTGCTTTGATAACATTCCTACTATTCAAGTTCTTGACTCGATGCAACGAATGTTCTGTCATCTCTTAACAGTACCAGTTCTTGGTGAACCAACACAGTACCAGAACTTCTCTTGCTTGTTTTCCTTGGTTAATCATGAAGCATTCCTTCAATGGCATTTACTCAGTCCTTTGCCGCGCTGAGGCTCTTCTTACAGTTCTCAGACTGCCCAATACAAACCTGCCGCTTGTGCCAGTCAGTCTATCCATACAAATCCAGATGCTTAATTTTTGGCTCCGCTGCATATTTGATCCCCTTACAATGGCAAAACCCCGGTCAGGCTTAGCATGCTCTTACCTATTACTCCAGGGTTTCGTGGCCGCCGGTTCCTTCCTTGAACCCTTCTTTCTCCTCCGGCATGATCCGAGTCTGTTCTGGTCAAGAAAACCTATTGCGAGGCACGGCCTCTGTATGACATGATGGGTTGAGAATTCTGGGAAATGGAAACCACGACGGGAACCATGCGTTCAAGAGAAAGAGAGACGTGCTGCCTCCACCTCCTCCTCTCTCCCCCATTCCCCTCACAACCAATAGATCGCGGAATCTTCCTCCTACAGTTCCTCCTTGCCCTCTTCCCCCCTTTCTTACGTCCTTCTCCTTTGGAGTTGTACATTACCAGTGTTTCGACCATCTGCTGCCTGACCATTCCAATTGTGGCCCCGAGTCTCCCCTGCATTATGCTGCTCCTCTCCGAACATCCAATGCCACTCTTGCCTCCAGCTATGACAGTCCCCTACGTCCTTCTGTGACCACCAGGGACCGGCACAAAAGCGCAACAGCGCTTTCACCCCCAACAGGCTCGATTGCAAATTGTGTGGTCGCTTGATTGCTGCCGAACTTTGCACTTCACTGCAGTTCCAAAACTTTGACTTCTACAGCCGTTACCCTGACTTGCCGGCCGCGGCTGGTGCTTGGTGCATCTGAAGTTACCCGACAATCCTTGGGCTTGGCTGCCAACTTGGACTGGACTGACAGGTGACTGATTAAAAGAGCCTAACAACCTTACCAGCCTATAGGACCTGGCACGCCAACTGGTACGGATGAAGTTTACAAGTCCTACCGAACTAACCGGACCGTCGGGCTTAAAGGCAGGGACTATGGGACATGGGACACTGGGAATCTGGAACCGCATTGAGACTTAGACGCTGAGATGTGTGAGACCCTTTCATTTGATTGCCAGCATTGCATGCAAGGACTGAGGTTGGAGGGTATCGGAAACTCAGACCTTGCCACTCTTCTCCTGGAGCAGTTCTCTTGTACAGGTTTCCTTGACCTAGCTTGCCACTTGTCAAAGGTGCGCAGGGGTCATGACCTATATAATGGAATGGAATTGTAGTCGTAAAGTTTTGGTCACAAGTAAAATGCGATAAGAGGTGCAGTGCACAGCGTTATAGCCATGCGACTACCACATAATCATGCCTATTGAGCACTGTCCATACATTGAAAGGGACAGGGACAAAGCGCAATGCGCAGCCTTACCATGCCAACCCTCAGGCTGGTAGTAGAAGCAATTATTTGCAGATTCTGTTTGCATGTCTCTCTCACTCCCTTTCTTTGGGTACGAATGGATCTATTGGTGCTTCCAGTCATTGATATTTCCCATGACGACTGTTGCTGATTGTGTGCAGGACTACAAGGCCAACTTGTACAAAGACAGTGAGATCCGTTGCAGTAACATTCTCGATACTCTGCGAAAGGAACTGTCGGAGAGGTGCCGGGATCCTAGTACTACAATACAGGACTTCTTCGAGGTTAGTTCACCTTTGGAAAAACTGTGTTCCTACTTTGTGTGGGTGGGGGGGGAAGGGGGGGCGGGGGGGAGGGGCGTGTGTGTGTGTGTGTGTGTGTGTGTGTGTGTGTGTGTGTG